GATAGGGCCCTACCAAATTCGTGGTCCATTTTGATCAATCAATTTCATGGTCATAGGATTTTAAAAATTGTAAATTTCATGATTTCAGCTATTTAAATCTAAAATTTCACAGTGTTGTAATTGTAGGGGTCCTGACCCAAAAAAAGTGTTGTGGGGTGGTCAGAAGGTTATTGTAGTGGGAATTTGCACTGCTGCTATCTTTACTTTTGCACTGCTGCTGGCGGTGGTGCTGCCTTCAGAGCTGGGCAGCTGGAGAGTGGTGGCTGCTGGCCGGGAGCCCAGCTCTGGAGGCAGAGTCGCCACCAGCAGCAGCGCAGAAGTAAGGATGGCATGGTATGGTATTGCCACCCTTACTTCTGCACTACTGCCTGCAGAGCTGGGCCCTCAGTCAGTAGCTGCCACTTTCTGGCCACACAACTCTGAAAGCAGCAGTGTTTAAATCTCCCTATTAGTAACTGTGGTTCTACAATCACTCTTTTTTGGTTTCTCCCTGTTGTATGAAAAACTCACACAAATAAAGGGGAAAACAAGCTGACTATCACAGAAATAGTGAAATTGACAATACAGGGAGTAAAACTGAAGAGTCCCCTCTAATCATTCAATTTAGAAATCATAGGTATGACTTGTAACTCTATAAGGTAGAAGACTCAGACATGTGATTAAATTGACAGTTTACTGTACATTTAACACCCAGCTTCTTCATCTACTTGGTGTTAAATACAAGATACTATGACCAGAGTTTACTGTGCAATGTTACTTTAGTGAAGCTGATAAATCACACTTTATCTGCCAATCTTCAGGTATTTCAATTGTCATTAGAAATGAAACTGCCTGGTTGGTTGCACTGGTTGTTGTACAGCGTGTATGGTTTTCCTTTACTTCCTTCATACTAGATTGTATCCTCTGGAGACTGACAGCGCTGTACAGAGCTGTCAGTAATATACACTACGTAGAGTCATAAAGGGAACTTAAAAAAAAAAAACCCAAACCCACCACATTTTTGGTAAACATTTGTATCCTCCTATTGTTACAAGTAACACTTACTACTATTAGCTTATTTTAAAAAATACTTCAGGTTGACTGTCCTTTTAAGCAATCATTCTTAGAGAAAAAATGGGTTGCCTAGCAGTGGCTGGTCATTAAAGTTTTGTTACACCTTAGCTGGAAAGCTTGGGGATGCTATAATATGTTTACTTGATAGCAGTTCTTTGGAAGGGTGTTGCTGTAGATGATCTGTCAAGAGCGATGTGATGTTTTGCAATGAAATAGTTATCTTTCAATAATTAAAAAATAGGTAAAAGCTGTTTTAAAATAGGACTCCACTGATGGACATTAGCTCTACAGTATCTTACTAATCAAGAAGACAAAACTGACATATACTTGCCCTGCTTGATCAGGCTGTGATTCAGTAATATAAACACTGAAACGCTTCTTTGATGCAGCAGCTGCCTCTAACACTCTGAGGACCACTCTCGAATAGGCATGCGTTAATATTCGCTGTTAAAGTAACAGACATTTTACTACTTTAGCAAGTTTCAGGAAAGCTTTGTTATTGTCATGATCTCTTGTAATTATTTACCATGCACAAATGTTTTAAACATAATCTTCAGTTACTTTAGATGATATCCCAGATTTCACAAAAATGTTACATTAAGAGTTGTAGATACTTTTGGTGACCTGTCCAATATTAAACTGTATTTTTTTACAAAACCATGGGATGTCAAACTATCATGAAAATTGGACTTTATAGGACACTTAATTACTGAAGCCTTGACAGTGAGAGGGGCTGAGAACCCACAACTTCCATTTAAGCCAGTAGTTGTGGGTGCTTAGTACCACTTAGAACCGGGCCACAGGCTTAATGTCAGTCTATATGGAAAAAAAGGTGGAGGGAGGGGAAAGAAAAAGGGAGTTTTAGAAAATATTTGAATATGTGGCATAAACAAATGTGATGGGTGATAGGTAGGAGTAAAATCTTTACTTGGGAAAGCCAACATCAGATAATGTGGGCTCTCCTTAACAGATGAGGATAAAACCTATTTCCTCCATCACTTGAAATAATGGAACACCCAGAACAGAGTAATCAGTCCTGACATACTTACAGCACCATCTTTGATAAATGTATGGCAGAGTTTTGCAATTTTGTTTCTTGAAAGAGAGATTCTCCTAAGGAAAAGTTCCCCTCGTTCGATCATGATTTCTTTACATTTTGAATAGTCCTGGAAAAAGCAGTAAGAACAAAAATTAGGGCCCAGGATTACTTTGTGAGTAGTGTTACTTTGTGGATGAGTGAAGCATTACACTTGGTGACAAACTCACCGAGTACTCCAGTGAGGTGAGACTGATAAACCTTAGGAAGAGCTCTCCCCCTGAAGAGACTGCCACCGAAGAGTCAACACCAGATAGAGTTTCAATGGCATTTTTGAGATTTACTCTCAAACCCTGAATGGTCTCACCTGAGAGAGAGAGAGAGAGAGAAATGCAAACTTAGTTTCAAAACAAGATACTCATTACATGCTAGACCAGGGGTTCTCGAACTGGGGGGCGGAACCCCTCAGGGGGCCGCAAGCTGTCAGCCTCCACCCCAAACCCTGCTTTGCATCCAGCATTTATAATGGCGTTAAATGTATTAAAAAGTGTTTTTAATTTGATAAGGGGGGTGGCACTCAGAGGCTTGCTATGTGAAAGGGGTCACCAGTACAAAAGTTTGAGAACTACTGTGCTAGACAGAAGTTTAGGTGTATTCTGGTATGGCACTAATGGGTGTATTTTAAAAATTTCCAAATGACTAACTTGGTATTTCTCCTCCTGGGATTATAGTGGAAGCTTATTACACCATGTGGAAATTTTTCAACTGATTCCATAAGTTTGAGTACAAAATCTATAGTCTTGTAAGCCCTACCTGCCGCATGCCCTCCATCCACCTTTCTCTAGAATAACAGTCATCTAAAAAGAGAATATAAACACTCCTGAAACGTGTATTGCTGCCAGGAATGAAAACTGATGAAATACTACTACATAGTCAACAGCAGTGTTGACTGCTCCTGCCTGCCCATCAATGTGCTTTGATTGTAACCTGAAGGAACACGTTCTTGCCGCTAATGAGGTAATTCAGCACCCATGCTCAGTCAATGCTTAGCCACTCTGTGAGTAGAAGAGCACATATCCAATGAAGCAGATTATATTTAAAGAAACAAACACCAAATACATTTTGAAAACTTTTTTGGTACTATTTCTGTTTCCCAGATTTTGATTAGTAATGCACGCTTCTCACAGCATGTGCTCATTTCTGCACAACATCTACCAGACAAGTTTCTTATTTCTAACTTTGGATGGAGTGTAGCCTGCTTTTTTTGCTCAAAGACCTCCATGTTTAACTCTTCTCTGAACTTTAAAAAACAGTATGACATTCAGGTTCAAAACACAGGGCTTGCCTTTTACTGCAATGCAGGAACTGGACTGTTTTGCTTGTGAAAAAGAAAAGGCAGGATCTTGGAAGCAGAGATGAACTGCAGTATAGCTTGCTTCTTGAGAAAGCAAAAATTAAATAATCACCTGAAATGCAACAAAGCTCTGAATTTCAGTCACCTGAAACACCATGAATGTGATTAGGTGTGTCTCAAATATTTAGGGTTGGCAGAATTTGATGTTTTTTAAATAATTTTGATGGATAATATCAATAGTTATTTGTGAGCATTTTTAATTTTTATTGATTTGCATTTCACAGTTCTGCAAATTTTGGGGGTTTTAGCATTTTTTCAGTTTATCAACTACCAGTTTTCACAGTTGCAGGAAATTATGGGGGTGTCAGACAATAACTTATTAGAGAGCTTTCAGAGTAGCAGCTATGGTAGTCTGTATCTGCAAAAAGAACAGGAGTACTTGTGGCACCTTAGAGACTAACAAATTTATTTGAGCATAAGCTTTATTGGGCTACAGCCCACTTCAGTTTTTTTCTCCTGCTGATACTTGCTCATCTTAATTAATTAGCCTTTTAGAGTTAATATGGCTACTTCCACCTTTTCATGTTCTGTATGTATATATTATATGTTCCATTCTATGCAGCTGAAGAAGTGGGCTGTAGCCCACGAAAGCTTATGCTCAAATAAATGTGTTAGTCTCTAAGATGCCACAAGTACTCCTGTTCTTTTTATTAGCCTCATTCAATAATGATCAGGCAGCATTTTTCTTACTTTGCCTATTTTTAAACGTTGATAATTATGGATGGAAACATTTTTTTTTGTCGGTTTGTGTGCGGACGGTGAAATCGATGTTCATAAAAACGGAATCCGTCCAAGCCTATCAATACTGCAAGGTGGTCGGGGAGGTGTATTACCCCTGCCCTCTACTGGACGGATTCAGGACTGCTCGTCCTACGGGACATCTTCCTTTCGCTCCAGGACAGGGGCCTGTGCGCTCGGAGCAGGGTCCGCGGGTTCTAGTCTCGCTCTCGCCCTGCAGCGGAGCACGGGCTGGGCCGGCGTTTGCCAGGGCCCCTGTACCTTTGTCTCTCTTCAGGAACTCCAGCAGCGCGCGGATGGCGGCCACGGCCGAGGCCACGTCGGGATCCTCCCTCATCTGGGCTTTGAAGGCCTCGATCAGCTCTGCAAGGGAGACGGGGCCCGTCAGCCACAGGGACCCGCCCGGCCTGGGGAAAGCCCCCACCTGGGGCTGGCCAGGCCTGGTCCCCCCGTCCGGGGAGCGGCCGGACAGGCGGGATCTCGTCTCGCCCCCGCCGGCAGGGGGCAGCCCCAGGCCGCGAGGGATGCTAGTGCACGTACGCCGCGGCGTACACACCTGCCTCCAGGGGCGGCTTGGGGGAGGGCCCGGTTAATCCCACCCCCTGATCGGGCCCCGGCCCCTGTTACCTGCTTCGTTCATGGCTTCAGCTGCCGGCGGGACCGGGCCTCTGGGAGCAGCAAGAACCGGGTTTGTTTCCCCCTCTCACACGGAGGGAGCTACTGTCCCCGCCCGGCCCCTTTTCGTGGTGACACCGGCGCCTTCCCCCACAGGCCGGCTCTTGCCGCATCACGCGTGACGTACGGGGCAGTGCGACTAGTGAGCGGTGACATCATCTCCAGGCGCCGGAAGCGACGGCCTAGCCGGTGTCTGCTCTCCGCCTGTCTGGGGCTGGGCACTATGAGCGCAGGTGAGTCCTAGCAGGGGCCTCGTCCTGCTGCCCGGGAGCCGCGCGGGAAGCGGGGTGGGGTGTCTGTCATCTCCCCCTCGCTCTCCTCAGAGCCCGGGCCGAGTCTCTTCATTTCTAGTGTGTCGTTGTCGTCCCCCCTCCCCGTCCCCGTATATCTGGGTTCAAAAATATATAATGCTTCATTATGTATAACATAATAGATTCTACTCCCCTTCCATGTTTTATGGCGTTCATGGAATTTTTGGTAATAAACTTATGGAATAACTGCACTTATGCTGAATCTTAGACGGTTTGTTCACACATTCTTGCTAACATTTTTTTTGCTATTGTGTGTGAGACTGAAAAGTGTTACTAAAGAAAAACATGTCTAATAGTAGAATATAAGGCCTTGATTCTGCAAACACTTATGCACACTCAATTAAATGGGCATCAAACCAAATAGTACTTTTGCTTATGGATCTTTAAATTTTGGCCTTCCCATATTTCTAAAGAAGCTGTTACTTGATGCCATATTGTCAGAGTGTTGTCTGTTCTCAAACATATGTATTATTATTGCTTTTCTAGATGATGAGCTAAATCTCTTAGTCATCATCATTGACACCAATCCTATCTGGTGGGGGAAGAAAGCGCTAGGAGAATCAGAGGTAAGGCTTCCTGACTAGCATGGGGTCACAATGAAGTTTTCCAAAAGACTTTTTCTGTAATTTTTTGACAAAATCTGTTTTATTTTAAATGCATGACAATCCAAATTGAACTGCATTTGCTGGAGAGAAACTGGGAAATACTCTTGGAATTCAAAATTATGCTAATATTGCCTTATGATAAAATAGTTGAAATAATGTCTTGTCATGTCTAATGCCCTTTTAAACAAATGATATGCTGGATTGGTTTGCGCTGCAACAGTTTGTCTGACTGAATACAGGATGGAGAGTCAGGTACTCTTGAGTTCTAATCCAAGTTGTTGTCACTGACTTGCTCTGTAGTCTTGGCCAAGTAAATTAGTCTGAAATTTTCAAAATTGGCCACTAATTTTAAGAGCTCAACTTGAGGCATCTTGGGCCTGATTTTTAGAAGTGTTGAACACCCAAAACACTAGTTGAAATCAGTGGAAGTTGTCGGTGCTCAGCACCTCTGAAAACCAGGCTGTTGGTTTCTCAGGTTGGACATGCACATTTGATTAGGGGACACTTGAAAATTGTAAAATCTCTATTCCTTGGTTTCCTCATTCTTAAAACTGGGATGATAATACCCATATCAGAGTTCTTGTAAGGATTAACTAGTTGATCTTTGTGCTGTGCTTTGAAGATGCTGAACCCTGTATAAATGGTATTCCAATGCCAAACATGTTCTGGAGCATGACAATGATTATTAGTGGTTCTGGGGGGTGACAGTCTCTCATATATAATATTTATTTTAATTTCCATTTCTGTCTCTGTATGCACAGACACAGAGTGGAAAAACATTTTTCCAGACACTCTCCCACGTACTACAGAGAGGATTATCTGCCTTTTGAATTTCATGTTCATTCCCTTTGTAAATTCCAAACCCTAATGAAAATATTACTTGTATGTGCAGATTTTTTTTTAAAGTTCTTATTTAAATTCGGTGGCTCTTCTGGTACATCTATTTTTCTGAGCTTTTCACACGTGTCCTTTCTTGATTTTCTTTTTTCAACAGTTTACATTATCAAAATGCCTGGATGCAGTAATGGTGATGGGAAATTCACATCTATTTATGAATCGTAGCAACAAACTTGCTGTAATAGCAAGTCATACACAAGAAAGGTACAATAGCTTTCTTATATAGTATCCTTTTTATTTATAAAACTTCCCTTCATATATTATTCTTTTGAATAGCTCAGTGTGCTGAAGAGAATAATTCAAACAAAGGTTAAAATACATGATCTATTAGATACCCTTTTAAAAAACAAACGAATAAAAACATTGAGGGGAGGGGATTGTGGGTTGGTGATTATTGAATGCAAAAGAAAACAAGAGAAAGGGATTGTGAGAAGAAAGAGGTGAACAAAAATAGCTTTTGAAATTAAAAATAAAAATATTAACTTTTAAATCTTGACTATTAACAAAAGAGGTGGCAAGTTCCCTTTCTGGAGATTGTCACAATAACAGGGTGATTGCTTGCTGAGTTAAGAAATGAGGGGGAGTTCCTTAAAGGCAGATGGTGTCTGAATTCCAGTTCCCAACAGGATGAGTGTCAGAGAGAAAGTATTTAATGTTGGTGGGGCTTACGCCATTTAGGGCTTTGTAAACACACTCCTTACATAGTTATTAGTGTCCTGGGTACTAAGAATTGTTTGGAATAAAATTTTGTGTCAGTGGTTGAACTTGTGGCTCTTCACCTATTTCCTTAAAAACAAATGATTAATACTGTGCTGCTGTTTCTCGCTTTTAGTCGTTTCTTGTACCCTGGAAAGCACTGGGCATTTGCAGATCTCTTTGGAGACGGTGGTAGTTTCGTAGAGTCTAATTGCTCTGGCAGCAAAGATGGAAAATATGAATTATTAACTGCAATAAATGAAATAATCACAGAGGAGATTAAAGACCTGATGACAAAAAGTAAGATTTTTTGTTAATGAATATAGCCATCTTGGTTAATTTAGTTCCACATTCTCGTTAGTTTTTTTTTTAAATACTGTTTAAAGTAAGAAAAATAATACTTTGAGATGTTATGTGAAAAGGACACTGTTAAGGAGATTACGTTCCACATTTTACCTATGTTTATAATGATCTACTTGGGAGCTGGGTTGCTAAAACAACTGTACAACTGATTAGAACACACCTGAAATATTTTGTCCCATTCTAGGCAGCTCAATATCAGAAACCTGTAATGAAGCTGGAGGGAATTCAGAGAAAAGCAAAAAACCTAAGGGGCTGATTTAATAAAGATTGAAATAAGTAAATGTGGACGGTTTGGCTAAATGATAACTAAGGATATGATCGCTGTCTACAGGTCTGGATGAAGCAAAGGAAATTCCTAAGCTTAATATGAATAACTACAAAATAGCTGGAAAGACCGCTAGGAACTGATGGAAGCTTCTTTGCATTTGTCTTCTGAAGCTTATTCTCCATCATTCCATATTTTGTTAATGTGCAAGAATTTGAGGCCAAGTGGGATACTGAATTATCGAACCTTTATTAGAGCCTATGTTTTAATGTTATTTGCCCAAGACACAATTCAAATTAAATGTTTAGTATTCAAATACTTTTAATTTGTACAAAGGTCATTTCTGTGTATTTTTGGATTACAGCTGACATGAAGGGCCAGCAAACGGAAACTTTGTTGGCAGGATCACTGGCTAAAGCACTTTGTTGTATCCTTTTTAAAATACTGGAATTTTCAAAATCTCTCTCTCTCTCTCTATCTTATGTTGTTTACACCATCATTGTAGGGAATCTTGAACTCTTCTGTGGTAGCATTCTGTGTTAGAATATTGTCAGTTTATTATGCTAAAGTTATGACTTATGAGTATAATACCATCAGATCGGAAACTTCAGTAAAGTGTGTGTTGGTAAAAGAGGGTACAATTGTTTAGTGCAGTTAGTACATTTTCTGTCTATTTTAGTAAGTTTTGGAAGGTTTATAGATCTGTTTCCTGAATAGAATAAAATGTTTCCTGAATACCAAGTGTAATAGATATTCACAGGATGAACAAGGAAGTAAAAGGTACCGTCTTTTCTTCTACTTGAATATTTACCTGAATATTAGAACGAGGGGGGAGGGGAAAATGCTGGCCCTTTTTCAACTGGCAGCAGTGGGCAGTACTGGTTGTCCTAATCATCTAAACTACCCAATTTGAGCGCCGATTGAAGATTGGTAATATAGGGGTTGACATATGTAACCGGGTATGCTGAGTCAGGAGCTAATTCAGCACCTGTCACTGTAATACCCACCATTATATTTCAAGTGGGACCTAACTGGAAGACAGACAGTTGACAGAGGGTGTCAGTTAACTGAATTAGCACTACAACTGAAAGGCTAATGGAAGCAGAAGCAACCCCAGCAGGTGGGATTATATACATTGACAGGAAGGAAGAGTGGGGATCTTGAAGGAAGGCTGAAGAAGGCAGAACTAGGTGCTGCTTGCACTGCTCTCTTCCTAGAGGCAAGTGGGGTAGCTGGCTATGGAATCTAAATACATGTAAATAACACTGCAGGCTGTGGCCTGCTGAAAGACTATAATAAAGTCTGGTGTTGGTGAAGGAGACCTGGAGTGGTTGTGGTCTGTGATTAAGGCCTGAAAGGACTCTTGGGGATCACCTCATGTCACTATATTTAAGTTGATCTTTGTGACAGCAAATTAATAACCCTAACCCCTTTGTGATGTGGACATCTATGTGTTGGACTGAAATTACAACCAGAAAGCCATTATGATGACTGTCACACACTTGTGAACTGGTCTGTGTTTGAACCAGTGAACCGTCAATGAGAGACTGAAATTCCCTTGCTTTTCACCATCCAGTTGCTTTTTGAGAATGACTGAATATGGTGGTATCTACTTTCACACCAATGCTGAATTAAGTCTGCTGCTATTTGTCAGATTTTTCTTTCTTGCTCTTTTCATGATACTTAGTCCTCAGTATACTGATAAAGCAGTCTCTCATTGACTGCTGTAAGTGAGGTGTATGATCATACTACACAATTTCAAAGAAAAAATATTGGAGGCTAATGTATGGAGTAACTGTGAAACACTAATGCATGTTTTTGTCTCCAATATGTAGCCAGCCAAGAAATTAAATCAAGAATTTTGGTAAGATCTTCTATATAAAAATTTCTTAATGAGCTTTGATATCCAGTAGTACTATTGTGTAGGCTAACAGGTGTCAATTGCTTTACCTAGGTCATAAAAGCTGCAGAAGACAGTGCATTGCAGTATATGAATTTCATGAATGTGATCTTTGCAGCACAGAAACAGGTGAAGTTAATGTTTTATTGTGATAAATATTCAATTATTTCAATATCAACATGTAAACATAAAGATTGTCTATCCCTGTTATGTATGTGCTTCTAATTAAGGGATGCTTGGGGCCATCTGAGCATCTTCTTGCCATGGGAAGGGACAACTAAGTTAAAATGTAGATCCAAGTCACCACACTGTAACAGAAAGTGGCCACCAGTTCAGCCCAAAAGACTACTGAGCCTTACCCCCCACATCTTAGAATTAGATACTGTATATTAGGTAAGCTTCATCTGTGGTCCTTCCCAGATTGCCAGTTATTGGACAGGGATGGGTGGATGATGTGGTACATGCTATGGGTAAAGTCAAATACAGTACTTTGTTTTGGTGCCGAAGGCCAATAGCCTCAGCAGTCTGTTCAGATGAATGTAGTGGGACTTACAACTAAAATAGATCTCAGCAGTAATGGTAATGGAGAGTTATAGTTATTGTACTATTGTAACTTCTATTTTCTGTAAGCCTCATCTTTCTGGTTTCAGAATATTTTGATTGATGCCTGTGTTTTGGACTCTGATTCAGGACTCCTACAGCAGGTATAATATACTTTTATTACTCATTGGTTATATTGGTTCTTAGATGAAGAACTGAAAATAGCTGTTTTGTGACCACTTGTTTGACACATTTGAAATCATCTTCTCCCAAACTTTTTGCTCCCTTTGCTTGGAGATGGAAAGATTAGAACTGGGCAAATCAAGCCTCAATCTTGTGCGATAACGAACAGGCTCCTATTTGTTCCCTTTTATGTGACAAAACCTTAAATCAGCTCTCTCCACTTTATCTCCTGGATACTCTGTCACATCAGAAATGTTTTTGATCAGTTCCTCCCCACCCTGTTATTGGAACACACTGTCCTGAATCTGAACTGTTCTCTACTTAACAAACACTGATTGCTGGAAACTATTGCCTCCTTCCAGGGATAAACATTTGTTGAATAGGCACTGTTTTTGGTAGTATATACGGATCAAGAATCTTAATGTAGGATAGTACAAGAAACAATTGAGGATTCTTTTTATTTAAATTATTGATCGGGGGAGTCTTTCAGTTTTAAAATCTCAACTGGGAATCAAGCAAAAAAAATGTTCTCAGGTATATAAGCAATGTAAGAACAACTATGGTTTTAAGAAACTTAATTTAAAAAATAAAGTTGGCTCTGTATCTAAGTGTGAGGTCCATTGACATCTACTTATTTCTAACGGCTGTCCTTTACTGCAGTACCAAAGAGAGGGGAGACACTTTCTTGCTCATATCTTTCTCCATGGACAATCCTCCACCTTTAAGTTTCCCCTGAGGCTGTTCAAAAGCCAGGGATGGAAATATCTGGGGCAAATAACTTCTTTAGAATCTGAAATCTGTGGGACTTGAAAAAAATGTGTGGCTTTTTTAACCTTTCTGTAGTATGTAGCAATTTCTGTTCAGGTTTGTGTCAAAATTGTTCCTATGTTAAGTGCTTGCAATGTATGCTTTCCAGGCTTGTGACATTACAGGAGGCATATACTTGAAAGTGCCCCGGATTCCCTCCCTTTTGCAGTATTTGCTGGTAAGTAACTTAAAAAAACACTTGAGGGCTGCTCTGACTCCTGTTGAAGTCGGTTGCAAAATTCCTCTTGACTTCATTGGGAGCAGAAGCAGACTCTTTGAGCTGACGTGGAAGTTAAGCGTTGGGAACCCTGACTGCTCGAAGGGATTCAGCTGTTTGATATGCTTCAGTAGATGCTGCATTGAGAAGTCATGGGAGGGTATGGACAAGCATCATAAGGGACAGGCTTTGCAGGAGGGCTTTCACGCTTGGCTGGCATAGTCATGTGTGACACTTCACTGTGGTGAGGGGATATCCTAAAAGAAGACTGGGAAACTGAACAAGGGGAAATATCTCTCAAAGTATCTAAGAATGTCACTTACCTGAAGTGCTGGTGCATAATATTGATTTTGCCTGGGGAGACTTGGAGGAAAATGACAATATGATATAAGTTTGTACTACTGAAAGTTATTACTATCTGATGGCTGTTCCTTGTCTGTTTGAAATGAATTGGTCTAGTCCAGTTCCTAGTGGACAAGTGCCTATGATGCAGAACCCACCAAAATTGACAGCAACTGGCAACCTGTATAGTGCTCAGTGAGTGAATTAGGGGTTTGGAACGGGTCCCATATGAGGAGAGATTAAAGAGGCTAGGACTTTTCAGCTTGGAAAAGAGGAGACTAAGCGGGGGATATGCTAGAGGTATATAAAATCATGAGTGGTCTGGAGAAAGTGAATAAGGAAAAGTTATTTACTTGTTCCCATAATTATAATATAAGAACTAGGGGCCACCAAATGAAATTAATGGTCAGCAAATAAAAGGAAGTTCTTCTTCACGCAGTCAACTTGTGGAACTCCTTGCCTGAGGAAGTTGTGAAGGCTAGGACTATAACAGGGTTTAAAAGAGAACTGGATAAATTCATGGAGGTTAAGTCCATTAATGGCTATTAACCAGGATAGTAAGGAATGGTGTCCCTACCCTCTGTTTGTCAGAGGGCGATGATGGACAGCAGGAGAGAGATCACTTGATCATTACCTGTTAAGTTTACTCCCTCTGGGGCACCTGGAATTGGCCACTGTCGGTAGACAGGATACTGGGCTGGATGGACCTTTGATTTGACTCAGGACGGCTGTTCTTATGTTCCTATGCCATGACGACTGAAGTATGCTCTTACCTGCAGAGGTGTTTGCAGCAGGTTAGAATATGAGGCACGGTGATAGGAGGGAATGAGGGGCAGCAAACTTTTCATAACTGTTCTTTGTTCTTTATGGATTCTGTGGATAAATTTGTGACGTGTCTCCTGGGGTATCATTCTGGCATCTCTAACCCCCAGTAAACTCTCTCATGCTTAAAATTGATGTTGAATGAATAGTCATGTCTTAAAATGACTTGATGATTTTAAAAAGGCCATTTTTTATTTATTGCGATATGAGCAACAAAACATTTCCTGGAAGGTGAATGAGGACAAAATTCCCTTCTTCCTCAAATTACTTAATGACCTGATGCAGTCATAGAGGTGAATTTCTTTGGCAAGTGGGAGGGTAACTTTCTTCTCTGCAGTAGTTTTGGTGTATATAGCAAAGTCCTTTAACACAGTTGTTTCCTCACAGATTCTAAAATACCCTCCCATTTTTTAAATTTATACAGTGGGTATTTCTTCCTGATCAAGAGCAAAGATCCCAACTAATCCTTCCACCCCCCATTCATGTTGACTATCGAGCGGCTTGCTTCTGTCATCGAAATCTCATTGAAATAGGTTATGTCTGCTCTGTGTGTTTGTCAAGTAAGTTTTACAAATATATTTAACAGAACTGACCTAATTTCTCTTGTTTCAAGGTAACTATTTTAGTGAAAATGGCCTATTCTTTTATTTTCCAGTATTCTGCAACTTCAGCCCTATTTGTAGCACATGCGAGTAAGTACTCTTCTTGACTTTTGTTTGCTTGTGTAGGCTAGGCTTAGAAATGTATTCAGCATATTTTATTTTTTCTTTCTTGTATTATTTCAGGACTGCTTTTAAGATTTCGTTACCACCTGTCATGAAGGCCAAGAAAAAGAAGCTAAAACTAGCTATATAGCAACATTATAGAAATACACCAACCATTACCTCCTCCACGTAATTCCATGAAACAGCATGTAGTTGAGAAGGTGGCATTTTTTAATAAGTGTGAAAGAAATAATTGTTCAAATCTATGTTGCTAAACATTGAAAAACATCACACACTATATGCACCATCTCTACATCACACACTATATGCACCATCTCTGTAAGCAACAAATGGTTGTATTGGTACATGCTCTGTGTTATTTTAAAATCAAATCTTCTATTTGTGACTATCAGGAGCCAGAAACTGCTTGTATAAAGCAGAAGGTGCATTTACCATTATAGAACAACATAATAGCATCCCTAAGTCAGTTTAGAAGTTAGACAGAGAATGCAAATGCTTAGGCCCTGATCCTGCATGCATGTTAAAGTTAACGGTAAGCATGGCTGTATGTGTTTGCAGGATCCAGGCTGTAGTGTTATGGATGGATTCTGTAGTTCTTTTCAACACGGTTTGTTGTTCAATTTAATTTGTGAAGAGGCAAGTTTGATTTTTTTTTCTTCCCACCCCCCGCCCCCACTAAATTCCCCTTTCGTGGGTATTATCTGCTTTAAGTGTGTTTTATTCTTTTCTCACTTTAATATCTTCTCCCCAAAACACAAGTATATTGAAGATTATTCAGGTGAATAATTTTATTACAAGGTAATACAGATAATGAGTAATTTTCCTTTTGAAATTCAGTAACAGAAGCATCTGTGATTTTTTTTTTCCACTCTCATGTGTAGGGATTTGTTTTTACGATATTTTGAAACTGGAAAACAGTTTAATTGTCTGAAATCTGATAGCAAGTTTCTTTTTTAGATTTGACTTGCACCAAAGAAAGATAATGTAGGAAGGCCTCTGTTATGAATTGATTTATTTTCTGTATCTCAGCAGGTGAACGCATGGTGCATGTTCAGCTTTCGAAACCTTTTGTGTTTAAACCAAACAAAAAATTTAATTCTCTATTTTTAATTCCCTACTTTTAATCCGTAACTGTATCTTTTGGTGTTTTAAAATATATTTAATAATTGTTGTACTACTCAGAGGCAATATGGGAATAATTGTTTTCTAGGTAGAAAACATGACTGCAGATAAATTCTTTTTTAATGGTATATGCAGGAAATGATGATTTATAATATTTTCATCAGGTTTTTGCCTGTGTTACCATTTTATTGAAAATGCCAGTCTTTTACTGGCTCATTTATTAACTAAATGCAATTTTATATGAACACTGTATTTATAGTTTGCTTTATATAAATATTTGTAATAAAGTGACTTTAAAAAAAATGGCCTTTTTCCCCTTTTATCCTCGCTTTTATAACCTTAAAGGCAAAATCATCAAAGGTTAATTTAGTATGAGGGTCCACACCAGACAAGGCATCTTGCATACTGCTGAGTATCTTGATGAACAGTTTAGACTCAAACGTGTGCAACAAAGAGGGCAATATGGGCCCTTGCAATGTAAAATTAGGCGTGGTTTGTAAACTCTAAGTACTGTTGGTACATACTGTTACTCCTGAGGGCATTCTGCTACCGAAAAAAAATAAAAATTCTGTGCACAATATTTTAAAATTCTTCAAATGTTATTTGTTGAATAAATATGGAGGTTCCAGCATGGCACAGGGGAGCACAGGCCACTGGCTGAACAGAGGTGGGAGATCACTGTGCAGCTTCCTCCTGGAACACGGACTCAGCAGTGAGGCTGCACCTAATTTTGACACAGCGCAAGGACCAGGCCCTGCCCCAGAAACACCCTAGGGCCATGCCACTCCATGCCAGGTGAACCAGGTGTGGGCAGGCAGGCTCAGCATGGCAGGATCCAAGTGTGGAGGGGCTTAATGTGGGGAGATCCAGGTATGTGTTGAGATGGTTCTGTGTGGGGCAACCTAGGTGCGGGTGGCTCAGTGAGGGATCCGGGTGCAACGGTAATGGGTCCAGGTGAAGGTGGTTGGGGCTCGAGGAGGAGGCCTGGGGGGGGGGGTTAGAGCTCAGCAGGGGGATCTGAGGGGCTCAGTGGGGTATCTAGATGCTGGGGGAGTGGGGCTCAGTGGGGTGGAAGCATGGGTGGCTCATCGGGGGGTTTCTGAGTGCGGGGAAGTGAGGCTTGGTGGGAGAGACTGGGTATGAGGGGGTCTGGATGCACAGAGGTTGGGCGGATGGTGGAGCAGCTCCCTATACAGGGATCCCTCCCCCTACAGCTGAGGAGTGATGGGTGTAGGAAGTGGGGCAGCAGGAGGTTTGCAGACATTCCTGCAGCTGGGGAGAATTCTGGGGGTGGGTCTGACCTGGCCCCGGAGGCCATGCAGGGGAAGAGGAAGTTAAGTCCTATCCTCCCTAGCCCAGCCGGAACTAGCAGCT